AATACAGTTGCTCACCACCTACTGACTGGTGCCCAGCCTGTCCCCAAGCAGTGATTGGCCCCTTCCAGCCAACTCCCTCCATTTAAATACTAAGCATGGCACTCGGTGGTGTGGAATATCCCTTTGGCCAGTTCAGGTCAGCTGTCCTGGCCATGCTCCCTCTCAGCCCCTTGTGCATCTGCTCACTGCCAGGGACACCGAAAAGTCCTTGACTTAGAGTAAGCATTACTAAGTAACAACTAAAACATCAGTGTTATCAACATTATTCTCACATTTAGCCTAAAACACAGCACTGTACCAGCTATTAGGAAGAAAACTAACTGTATCCCAGTCCTGGATAGTTTGGGTCAGGTTCTCAGTAAACATAAGCTGCCACAGCTGCACACAAACTATCATGATGACAAAAGGGCTGGTCTGTTCCATCAGACTTGCAGAGCTCTTTGGGAGTGATGGTAAGTATAGTTGTTTTACAGTGACATTTCCTATATCAGGAAACACATTTATTTCAGTAAACCAATTAAAACACCACCACTGTCCTATTAGTTGTGTGTTTGTATATTACAATAATTGCTAAGGCTGATAGTGTTTTTTTTCAATTTTTTTTTCTCAAAGCACCTAAAAGAGAGGTACTACCTGTGCTCTAAAATAGTGGAGAAAATCTGTCAATCAAAGCATGCCTTTCTTATAGGACTAAAAGCAAAGGACATGTAATAGCCCACAAGAGATCATCTCTAGGTGACTGTTTTGGGTTTGGCTTTTCGGCTGTCTGTCCTGTCAGCACCTTTCTTGAGCAGACACTGTCAGTGTGTGCATGCAAAAGCAGAGCCTGTGCTCTCTTTCCTGGTGCATGCTGACTTAGCTAGACACTGTCTCTGATATGAAGCTCACTGCAGGCAGTGGAGGAGTTCCACAGCTGCCCAAGTGTGCTTCCAGCTCTGGTGAGGAAGAGCTTTAAGGCTTTCCCTCTGAAGCAGATGGTTTGGCTCATAGAAGGCAGTTTTAACTCTGCATCTTTGCAAGAAGTGAATCTAAATTCCAATAGGTAAAAGATACAAATTTCTTTTGTAAACTAACAGTTTCAGGCTGCAGTGAGGCAAGTGCATGCATGATTTATTTAATATGATGTTTATCATATGTTTACTGAATGACACCCTTAAAAAGCCAAGTTAGGATATTAGGTAAGATTTCAAACTTTTCTCTGAGAGCGACTTTTTTCCCCCTGATACTCCTGTTACTAAAAGTTGACAGACATAATTAACTGTGTCCTTCTTATGTCTGCCTTGTAAAATGCATAACGAGAGGGTATCCCTCTGGCTCTGTTTTTATTGGTGTGAGCTCCTTGTTGAAGAAAGGGTTTCTTTGTGTATGATGGGAAGGAACCCCAGTATGGAATGCAGGTCTCCAAATCACCTACCACTGTTCAGGAAAGGTCTCAGTGGGTATTTCTAGGGAAATGACAGCTGAATGTCATTTGAAAAAGCCAAGACAGTGTTTGGAATTATTAGGGAACAAAGAGAGGACAAACAAGTAAAATTGTTGTGTCAGTGTGAGCAATTTTATATCAATTTCTGTTGTTTCTCTTTGTCAGCAAATATTTCACTCCTTCATCAAACAGTGGAGAATAAAACCTAACAGGTGCTTCATGTTTATATCTAAAAGGAAGGGGGAAAGTTTATTCAGACAAAAAGGAAGGAAAAAAGACATCCCAAGTCCCAAAGAACATCCCTTTTACCCTCACCATTAAGTGAATTTCTAAGATGTATTTAGCAAACAGCTTCTGTTTGAGGAAATTCAGTTTAGAAGCTGGTGCTGAGAGCCCTCTGCACCTCTTTGAAATGATGCTCTCAAACAGGTTTCATGAATTAAGTCAAAATCACGTGTGTGAGTAAAACGACTCACGCGAGTCGCTGTTGTGGATTGGGGTTTCTGTTTGCTAAATGATAGCATGGAACTTGAAAGAGAAGAAATAAAGAATAAGAGTTATAAAAAATGTTACACTATGCACAAAAGAATGCCAAAAAAGTTTCAAATTCTATAGTACTCTATATTTAACTGTGTCCCAGCTGTGTTACTTCTGGTCTGAAACCACTGTTTCACTGCTGTGATAGGCAGTAATTTTTTCAGGCTCACCTACTGCGGTGTAGAGGTGGCATTCAGCCCTTCAAATGGACTTCTCCAACCCAGCATTTTGGTTTGGAGCTATGCCAGGATCATTATAGCTGAAAAGACCTTCTGAGTGTTTTCCTTCTCCGCAGCTTAATCAAGACAACTGTTTTGTAAACGAGAGTACCTATGAGAATACAAGAGTAGGATGTCCTAAGTTACATGTATTTTTGTGCCTGTTTTGTTGGCTTTTCTTATAACTTAGTCTGACTTCAAACCTAGTAGACACATTTGCAAAGCATGTAAGCCATGCAAAAGACTGCTAGCTGGAGTGGCAGGAAAAAAACCAACAAAACCAAAAAACCAACAAACCCACATGACAAATTAAAGCTGAACTCGCCACTGACTTTATGGTTTCACCTAAAATAGTCTTGTTAATGAGATAGAGTCCTTACTATTTAAACCTGCATATTTTTCATTTCCCCAGTTCAAGTTTTAACTTCCATATAGTAGTCTCAGAAATAACTTTGGAGTTGACCATCTCCGAACTCTTAACAGGACTATTTAATTTCTGTCTTTTTTTTTTTGTTGTTGTTGGTTTTGTTCTGTTGGGGATTCACAGATGCATTTTGAATCAAACTTGATGAGATGTTAATAGCTGTTTTACAGGATGGTAGGAGGGAAGGAAACACTAGGTAGGAGATGCAGGACAAGTCAGAACAGATACGAGTGTCAAATGATTATTCCCATTTTCATTCAATAAAATATCATGATATTTGGCCTGAGTCAGTTGTTTTCAAAGCCAAAGTAATAAGGCTGTAATTGTAAGGCATTGCAATGGAATTAGTATGAAATATCAGAACCTGTTTCTGTATTTCTGTACTGTGCACAGTGTGCTTGCTGTCTCCTTCCTGCACACAGATGCATTGGCTGCTTGCAATTATTTCTACTGATTTTAATGTTTCTAAACTTAGGCCTCAGGAGGTGCATGTTCTGTGAGTGAGCAATGTGTACTTTGTTATGCATGTGGGAACTTACTGAGGTGCCTCACACCCTCAGAAGAGGATCCTTGCAGCCTGCTTTCCTGTGGTAGGCTGTACCTTAATGTGTCTGCATGAGTGAGGTATCTGACTCTAGAATGAGGGAATTTTTACCAAATCTCTATCTTCCTGTTCTGTGTTTTGGAATGGCTGATAACATAATAGAAAAATGGCTTTAAGAATTGTCATGTGTCTTTGAGTTTATAGACAAAGGCAGAATTTGCTGTAAACAACTTTTTTCAGGCAGTTTTTATTTAACTATAGTACTGACTGTCCATTGACTTTCCTTGAGTTAATTTGGATTAGCACCCATGTAATTAAGAGCACAGCAGAGAGAAGTATCTGGCAAGGCTTCCTACCTATGTTCCCTGCTCACGTGTCTTTGCCCTTCCCTGTCACTCTATCACTTCAGCAAATACTGCTTAAAGCAGTAAAGCTTTTGCTTTTATATTCACTCTGAGCAGGAGGCACAGGCTGGTCCTTCTGAGATCTCTTTCTCTCTTTTGTCCAGCCCTGCTTTGCAGGCTGAAATGGACTGAGTAGCTTGAATAATGTATAGATATGTACTATAGAAATCATGGGGTGCTTTTCACCAATTTTATCGCACAAAGTAGTTTTGGGAGCAAAGGGTTTTTCTCAAAGCAGGTTTTCAGGAGCAAAGGTGTGTCTGTGATAATCAATTTGCTTAACCAATTGAAAGCTGCCTATATGGCTGCATGAAAGTTCACCTAACTGAAAAATAAGTTTAATGCTTCCAAATTCCTCGTTGGGGTCCCATAAGAATCTTAACGGGACTCCTCTTTAATTTGGCCCTAGTAATAAAAAGGGATGAAACCCTCAAACCCGTCTGTGTTCTTTGATTTCTAGCACATCCCAATATCTATTTCAAAACAGTCTGAGTCATGGTTTCATTTTCAAGGGTGTTGGGTGAGAAGTCAATTAATACTGCTGGGAAGAATCAACTGATGATCAGGGAGAAAACTTTAGCTTCTTTTTTTTTTCTTTGGGGGGTTGTTAAATATAAAAGGGTGTCTTACTAATCTTCTCCCTTTGTTGTGCTTAATTTTCCCCAGAATTCGTCAGCCAGCCATCAGAATAAGACATCTTGAGCCCTGGAAAATTGCACTAATTGTTATTGGAACAGCAGTGGCAGCAGCTATCACCATTGGTCTCCTAGTTTATTTTCTGGGATATGGTAAGGTTTACATAAGGAATCACTGTTCCTATGCTTAGTGCATTTCCTTTGTGTCTCTTGTGCCACACGATGCTGGGAGTTTTCACCTGTCTGTCTAAAACTCATTTGCAGAAAAAACAGTGGCTTTCCTTTCCCCATTTAGCTCTCTTTCCTTCCTCATTTAGCATCTTTGCAGATCTCTTAAGAACACTTCCTGCTGTGCAGGGTGGTTTAGGGCTGTGGTTTCTGTTGGCTTTCACTTGCTTTCACTCGTTTCACATTGTCCTCATGATCTACTTCTGTGATGAAGTCAAGACACAAGTCTTCTGTTCTCCCTTACATGACTGACAGACAGAGCCTTCTGCTTATCTGTCAGGGGTGTTTCTCTGTTCCTTTGCCCTGATCACCAGCAGCTGCCTGCCAGTGCCTGGCACTGAGTGGGCAGGCCAGGCAGGAAGGTGACTGAGCAGCAAGATCCAGTTTGTGATCCTGTGTGAGCCCCAAAGTGCTGCCAGTTGGCCACAAATGTAACTGCTGGGGAAACTGGGCTTAGATCACCTAATTCAGTTGCGTGCTTGCTAGGGCTCCTAGATTTTGGAAGCTGTGTTTGAAGGGGTGGGATATGGGGAAGGCTCATCCACTCCCTAGATATCTGGATAACACTCAGCCCCGGATGTTTCTCTGAAGTTCATTCATCTTGGTGCTTTGAGTATTGCCTGTTCCTCTTCTTTCCCTTACAGATCAGAAGCTGTTCTATTACAGTGCCAATGTAAAAATCCTCAACATCCGGTACAATAATGAATTGTCCAGACAGACCTCAGGAAGGTTTAGAGACCTGAGCGAGAGGGTTGAGAGACTGGTAAGTTTGGACCCTTGTGCCTTTCCATTAAGGTCTGTGTGATAATACAAGAGTCATTAATGTGAGCAGCACACTCCTAGAACACAGGAGTCTGATGTACCGTGAGCAGCACACTCCTAGAACACAGGATGATGAGGGTACTCAGCCTGCATGGTGAGCAGGCCTGGGAGCATGAGAGTCATGATCATACCTGGCAGACCAGGCACTTCCCACTCTGCGTGTTCTAGCCTGTCACCTCTCTCTATCCCTGCAGTGGTGACATAGATATTGACAATAATCCCATTTCCCCCCTATATCACTGATCATTTGTGTATCTTCCCTTTCCGTTCCCTGAGCCTGGCTTTGTGATGTATGCCCCACTGTCTCTAAGGAAGGCATGCTTTGACACCCTCTCCTTTACAGGGTGAGGAGCTCTACCTGTCAGGCTGTTACTGTGTGTTGAGAAAACAACACACAAGCCCTTTTCCTGCACCTTTGGTATGTTTTGTTGGGAAACCCTCCTACAAACAGCAGTGGCTGCTGAGTGGCTCTCAGTCATAGAGTAGCTATGGAAATAAATAGACACATTGCAATTTCCTTTCTTGTTTTCTCTTTGAGACACTACCCCACAGATGCTAATTACAGTTCAGCTCTATCCAACAATAAGCATGTGATTGTGCTTGGACCTTTTTGTGTTTCATTCATCAGAATCTGATGCATATCTCTTAGCTCCTGTTTAGCAACCATGCACAGATACTCAGTTAATAGGACAATCAATGCTTTGCTCCCCACTATCATTAAATTTAGGGCCATGTCACTTGTCCACAACAAAATGCTCTGGTGTACATTGCTGTGGAGAAGTAGGGTGCTTTGTAGATTTGGCAGTGCTAGCATCTCTTCACAGCTCCACTGCTGAGGGCCTTGGAGATTGTAGTCAAGTTGTCCTCTTCTATGTGCTAGTTTGTTTTCTTTTTGCCCTCTTTGCCTACTGGGGATCGTACCATACATCCCAACCTGCGCTTCTGGTGCGTATCTGTTTGTAGAGAGTTGTATGCAAGCTGTGCTTAGTTAGGTGCTACCACTTTACAACTATTACCTAATAATTGCAGGCTCTTAACCTTGTGATATAGGACCTTGGAGAGGGAATGTTATCCCAGACCAAGAAGGCATTGTGTATTGCCGAGCTGGAAGGAAGACAAGCACTAGGAAGAAGTCTGAGGAATACTTCCTTGAGTAAAATTGTATCTCTCTCTCCCACTCCATTTCCTCTTCATTTTTCAAAAACATGTGACTCCTTTGGCGAAGAAACACTTATTTAGCTAAGAAGTTGTTTCAGATAGTGTCCAATGCAGATTTCCTCTGAACATGGCTATCAATTTAGATGCTTGATTGGAAGCCAATGGTTTAGAAACCCCATCTCCTTATGGGTGTTGAGCAGTTCTGACACTAGCAACAGTAAATACCAGTGCTGGTTGAACAGTGAGAACGATTATTTCAGAGCATGTTAATTGTACTTGATAAGTAACACCACAACAAACATACACAGAACTGTGTTGCCTTTCCTTCATTCCTGTGACTTTTCTTAAGAGCTATCTTTAATTCAGTCATTAACTTCTACTTCATCTCCCAAATTTGGTGAGTTCTTTTCTGTAATTTTAGGTTAGCTGATATAAATGGTCCCTGACATAAACTTTGACTATTTCTGGTTTTAGCTCCAGGTGTTCCATGCAACAAGGATTGAGAATTATCCATAAACTTATTTAAAGCAACTTCATACAGTAATGAAACAGTATGTTCCTTGTCAGTCTGATTTTCTAATAGCAAAACTCATCTTTTGGTGATGAAAATGAAAGCAACCTTTCCAGACTCACACATATCCTCTTGATTCTTGACAGACAGCTGTCTCAGGACATCTGCATTTTTATTTTCAGGATTTTCATACCATCTCTTTAATAGAGAAGGAGAAAATTGAGTTATTTATGACATTTTCTGATATGTCTGGATTTACCAAAATCCTTTGCATTCTCTCCCCTGCTGGTGTCAGGGTTTGGATCTCCAAGCCTTCCCAGTGTCATAGTAGTAACGATACCTTAAGCTCATGTTGTGAAACAGTGAGTCAATGCAGATAAATGCAATGTCTTTCTCAACACTTGATGCAAAGTGAACAGAAGTGAATCATCTCTGATAATCAGAAGCATTCAAATTACCTGAGTTAGTGCAACTCCCTGCCAAGTGCTCCCTTCTCTGATCCCTCCCTGATGAAGCCTCCTTCCTATGTCCTCAGAACAACTCTGAAAGGAGCTCTTTTCAGAGCTGATGTTTCACCAGGAAAAATGTTCCTTGCTTCTATCGGAAAGTCATACCATACCTTCCTTGGAACTGACAGCAAATGTCCCATGTCCCGATGTTTGCTTTGGTTTCCAAATTTAAGTAGTAACACCCATTGTGTGAACAACATTCCTGACTCTCTTATCTCATTGAAGGTGGGAGGGAATGCAGCCAGATCATGCCAGAGAGCTGATGAAGCTGGTGCACCAGTCAGGGTTGACTGGAAAGTCTGGAAAATGTCTTCTGGGGTGGAGCTGGGGGGCTGAGGAACAGATGATGAAAGGTCTTTGCTCCTTGACTGGCTTCCCTCAAGTGTCTGTGAGGGTTTTCTTTGTGCTCTCTTGAAAAAGCAGACTGGACTGAATGCCACTGGGGAAAGAGATGTTCCAGGTCACGAGAGCCTCCTCGTTTTTCTCGTTGGACGAGTCCTTCTTCCCTTGCCAAGATAAAGTGCACTGTGCCAGACTGTCCCCTCTTACACTGCATAAAAAGGGCCGAGTCACAGCCTTATGGCTCTTTCACCAAGGAGCCTCTATTTTATAGTGGCTTCACTTATTGTGTGGCTGATTGGCACAACTTTTACCCACTGGTTTTCTCCAACTCCTGCACCAGGCTTGGATGTTTTTTCTTCTCCCACAAAGTGTATTCACTCTTTTGGATTTCCTAAGAATGCCTTGGAGAGCCTAACTAACAGCATCCTGGGGAAGATTCCCAAGGCCCTGCTTTAAGCTTTCTTCTTAAGCCTTTCTGACATGCCAAAGTGTGGAAGGAGCTGAGACAGTCAGATAGACCTGGATGACTGGGATCATCCCAGCTGCCCATTTTGGGCAGCTGCAGTAAGTGCTCTGTGTGCAGGAAGAAGGGTGAAAGTGCTTTGTGTCCAGCATGGAAAGTCATCTTTGACCCCAAGGCGAGGAAGTGGGCATTCAGGAGAACCTGAAAGGAGTACCTTATCAAGGTTTAATGATAATTCTCCCAGCTGAAGGCTGGTGACTTTCCAGCTGTGCAAGAGAGGTGGATACTGAGCAGCCACAGCGTGTGACCCCTTCAGCACATGTCTGGTTGCTCAGTAGAAACAGACACCAGGCTTTACCCTCCCACCAGTGGTTTGTAAATGCACCTTTCTGCTCTTTTCGTCACTACAATAACTTTCTGATACTTTCTCCTAGAAGTTGTGGGCTTTCCCATGTTTGAGGACAGCCTGTGCAACACTTCTCCTCTCCCAGGCACCTAGTATCTTCCTGTCTCCTTCTCTGGCCAGAGCTGTTCCTGACCCTGCTGTCAGGATGCTTTTCCCTATCCTAGTCCATGTGTCGCTGTGGAATTTTTTGTTAGACATTGTACCCTTCCCAGCTTCTGGGGCTATGCCCTATCCATTATCCCCTACTCACTCCTCCTCCCATGTGATGGTAAGTCAGGCTGTGAGCTGGGTGGATGGATGCTCCTCAGGTATGAGTGTAGCATGGCTCCCTCCTTGACTAGTTGGATGGCTGGGGGAGAGGTGATGTGTTTGTTTTCCCCTGTTGAGTGCCTTGAGCCTTGGAATGGACTAGCATGGGTTTCTCCTGCTGTCTCACGATCTGCAAGGCACCTGTCCCTCCACCACTTGAAAGCAACACAGATCTAACTGGCAGGATCTGGGCAGAGTGGTTGGGGATTAAGTTAAAACAATACCTGGATACTTCCCCTGGGAGACTACTGCCTTTCCAAATATTTCTATTGAATTCATGGAATTTCATCAAGCAATTCTTGCCTCAGGACTCAAATTTATGTGTCAGGACATCTTTTCTAGAAACAGACATCTTGCTTCAGTGACTTTAAGTGACAGGAGAATTTTCTATGTCCTCAAGTACAGACATTGCAGAAAGTTATTAATGAACACAGCTCTTGAAGTTTGTCCTATCTGATAGAATTGAATTAGTGTGAGTTTAATTGTGAGTTTAATTTAGAAATAATGCCTGTACTGGGTATTGAAGAGGCACTTGTGATACCACAGTAAAATGCTGCAGAACAGTTCTGATGACTGTGCCTGTTCTTGGTTGGTTGAGGGCATCACTGCTGAGTCCCTATACTGGAACTGGTGAGGAAGGAGGCAGTTTTCTCCTTGGGAGATGATGATCTTAGAGGTTATTAACACACTTAAACAGAGGAGCAAGCAGGTGCCGTGCTGCTAAGGTGGATGAGGATCCCAAGGACTGTCAAATGCAACATTTGGTACTCAGTTCTCTGCAGCTCTGCACTGTGCCTGCTGCTTTGTGGCACAGTGACAAGAGGGCTTGTCAACTGAATCCAATACCTCTGCTTAGCTGCCCTCCAGGCTATGACCTCAAAGGACACCGGTGGGGAGCAATGGGAGCTCAGTTTGTTCTCTGCATCCTCATTAGTGCAGATTCTCAGCTGATTCAGCACAATTCAATTATGACCAAAGCACCCACAGTTTCCCAGCCCCTCGGCACTGATGTCTCTGCTGTGCAGACAGGGAACTGTGTTGGAGAGATTTGCAAGGACAAATCCATAAAGCCACTTCAGCACCTGAGAAGAGATCCTCAGAGATAGGAAAGAATTTTTCAAGTGCCTATGTGCAATCAGGAAAGGACCCAGTTAGTTCCTTTGGCACACTCAGATTTTATTCATCCTTATCACAGTACTTGAGTAGCTTTAACACTTGATAACCTTGTTAGTTGGAAAGGTTA